CCATAGGGCTCAGACCAGGAGCTACAAGCCACGCACTTACCACAGTCCTCAACATCAGGCACTGGGGTGGCTTTTCCAAACAGCTTCTGAGATGCAAAGGCCAGCTCCTTCTCCACCTGGAAGGAAGGGACAGGGGTAAGGACCGGCTCATCCACCAGCCCACCCTGTCCCCATGCATGGCAACCCCTCAGGGCCAGATTTTGGGGTCATACTTACCCTGAGCTGTGCTTGGCAGTGCTGCTTCACGGGGCATTCCCCGCACAGTGGGGCCTTGGGCACACACACAGTTGCTCCCAGCTCCATCAGGGCTTGGTTAAAATCCCCCGGGCGGCTCCTGTCTACCAGGGCATTGGCCATGTCCCTGGGAGAAACAGCAGTGAGCAGCATGGGGCTCTGCAGGGAGCGGGTCCCAGGACATGTGACTGCGAGGGGGGATGATCTTAGGTAGGCACAAGCAACACAGCTCCTTTCTCCATCATTCCCAGCAGCATCCACTTCTCAAGAGCTCCCGCACCCCATGGATCTCTCCCTTTGTAAGCTCGGCTCCCCATGGTTCCCAAGCGATCCTGCCCTTGCCCACCAACAATCACAGCCACGATCACCACAGCCTGGAGCAGGGACGGAGCATTTCCCTTACCAGAGCCGGTCAATGACAGCCGGGCTGCTGGAGTCAGCACCAATGCACCGCAGCCGGCACAGGACGCGGATCACGTTCCCATCCACAACACCAGTAGCCTGGGACAAGGAGCAGGGGTTACCATGCCAGGAGATGTCCATGCTGCCGGCAAGGCAGGGAGCTGGGGTGCTCCTGGGACAGAGGGAACACACAAAGCCCTGGGGAGCCCCTGGCTTGTGAGACCCAGCAGCAGGACCCTGCCAGGAGCGGGGCTGGGTGGCAGAGAGGGGACACACATCCACTGATGTCCCGCTCTCACCTGCCCATATGAGATGGATGCGATGGCTCCTGACCCTGCCGTGTACCGCCCCCCTCCTGGCAGCAGCTTCTGCAGGTCCTCAGCCGTCCTGGGCATCTGACCAGCCAGCTCAGACACCACCTGGCAGAGAGGGGACGAGGTCAGGGGAGCAGCCTGGGTGTGTGTGTGTGCAACCCGCTTTACCTGCAGTGAAGGCAGGATCACAGCCTCTGCAGGCTTGTGCCAGCAGCACACAGCCCCGGGAGGCAGGGCAGACGGGAGCCAGCACCAAGCAGGTCCTCAGCCGTCCTGGGCATCTGACCAGCCAGCTCAGACACCACCTGGCAGAGAGGGGACGAGGTCAGGGGAGCAGCCTGGGTGTGTGTGTGTGCAACCCGCTTTACCTGCAGTGAAGGCAGGATCACAGCCTCTGCAGGCTTGTGCCAGCAGCACACAGCCCCGGGAGGCAGGGCAGACGGGAGCCAGCACCAACCCACAGGCCACAGAGGGCTCTGGAAATGTCCCCCACACCCCAGCACCAGGGCACCTTCCTCGCTGCCTCCTGCAAACGCTTCCCTCTTGAGTAATAGCCAAGTCCAGCCCACAGCTCGTTCACCTCCTGCTCCAAGAGACATGGTGTGGTGTTAGGAAGACCCATGAGGGCAGGGAGAACACCTGGTCCTAGCAAAGCTCACCTCTAGGGATGCCTGTGCCAGAGCCTGCAGCGTTGGCCACTTCTGCAGTACAGAGGAAAGGGGACAAGTCGGGGATGAGCAGAGCCATGCTCTGCAGCCAGGGATCTGCCACAGGCAGTGAACAAGTGGACAAAGGGGCAACCCATGGGCACAGGACTTTGAAGGGAGCAGTCACCTGCATCCAGCGGTTGTAGTAGTCGATCACTGTAGCCACCTGTGTCTGCTGGAGCATGATCTCAGACACCCACACTGCAGGGAGCAGGGCAGGGTTCAGAGCAGAGGCACCAACGCCACCTCGTGCTGTGGCCATGTCAGTGATGGCAACAAGCACTGCACTAGCATCCAAGCCATGGGGCTCCTTCCCACCCCTCACTTTCCCCACTTGCTCCACACAGGAGTTCCCTCAGGCCCCATGTGGACATTCCAATGCCCCAGCACCTTGCTAGGGAGGTCAGTGACTCTTGTGGCCACTCGTTCCAATGATGGGAACTGAAGCCACATTTCTTCACCAGGCCACATTGCACATCCACGTCAGGGGACCACAGGCAGTGGGGCACCCCATGCATGCTGGGGCACAGCCCCTGCTCCTCACCTGCATATGCTCGTCTGTCAGCATCTGGCTCAGTTGCTGCCTGAAAGGGGAAGGAGATAAAGTGTGAGAAACAAGGTGACACAGGGCCCCCTGCAGAGGGGACCTACATATAAAAAGAAATCGCTTGTGGTGTGTTTTGAATGCTGCAAGGAATCTGCAAGAAAATATTTTCCCCAAGCACTCAGACATCCTGAGTTCAGGTTAATCAAGTAACAGTCTGATGGAATATCCCACAGTGAGAGTTTACCTTAGAGATGCAAAATCCCACCAGAAGAGCTGTCCCAGACTGCACCCCTCTGCACAGGAAGCAGTCACAGGCAAATGTCAATCCCACACAACAGCCTCGTGGTTCCCAGCACCCCTCAGACATTGCTGTAGAGCTGATGTCCACCCCCAGCACCCCAAATACTGGCCA